ATATATAGCATCCTTCAAACACTTGTACAAGTTTCCTTAATAATCCACCGCTATTTTTAAAGGAGTGTTAATCAATTCATTTCTATTTGAACTTATTAAACGCCCACTTCCCTTGTGATTTTCAATATTACGTTTACCTCTCTTATTTTGATTCTTTTGTAAAATTTATTTTAACCTATATAAATTTTGTAAAAAAAATACTAAATGACTAAATTATCCTTTTAAAGTTTTGAATGATTGATTAACTTACTGAATATCTTCTTTAAGTAATTTCTTTATAATAATCTAATTTTTTTTCCATAAATTACCATTAGATCTTATTATGTTTTACAATCCCAAAATGTTGCCAAATCCAGCCAGTTCGTCACCTCCAAATATTTTTCTGTCTCATGGGTTTATTTAATTTCTCTTTGTTTTTAATTTATTAATTTATTTTCTTGGAAAGTAATTTATAAAATTAAGTCATCAAAAGCATACAATATTAGAAAGGGGATTCTGCAAAGAGTTCCTGTCACGATCCCAATTTTCTTCCGTAGGATGTCGTGTTGGCACCTAGTCTCTAAGACAAGGTAAGCCTAATATTTAATAATAACATAATAGAAATAATTAACGAAAATGCTAAAGCAAGTCTGATACACAGATATAATTTACTGAAATAGAATTCCAACACCACACTTTCCAAACTCGGCAGTACAAGTCATAAGCTCTACTAAATTCACTAGAAAATCTCTAAGTACAACTATTCCGGAATAGAAATAACAAGTATAAATGTAACGACCCGGCCGGTCGTTTTGAGCAATTGCGTCCAGTTTGGCAGTTTGAGGCCATGATTAACTTAACATAGTGTATTATGACTTGCGTTCATCATCGGCTCTGATTTTTGAGTGGTTCAAAAATGATTTTAAGAGGTGACTCTCATTTGAGAAGCTCGAAGTTGAAACAATTCACCAAGGTTTGACTTTTGAGTGTTTCATCCCGGATCAGAGTTTCGATGGTTTTGGTAGGTCCGAATGCTGATTCTAGACTTAGGCGTATGCCTGGATTTGTATTTGGATGTTTCTAGAGGGTTTCGGCACCATTTGGCAGAAGTTGGCAATTTAAAGGTTTGGAATTTTCCTAAGTTTGACCATGGTTTGACTTTAAGGCTATTGGGTTCGGATTTTGGTTTCGGGGCTTGGAATAGGTCTGTTTCGTCATATGGAACTTGTCTGCAAAATTTGGTGTCATTTGGAGTTGATTTGATGGATGCATTGACACACCATATTCAAGGGGATGTGCCATGGTGTATGTTATTTCTTGATGACATAATTCTAATTGATGAGACGAGGGTCGGTGTTAACGAGATTTTGGAGGTTTGTCTAAGGGTTTCAAGTTGAGCAGGTCTAAGACAGAGTACCTGGAGTACAAGTTTAGCGCTGAGTCGAGGGAAGTAGGCAGGGACGTGAGGCTTGGATCTCAGGTCATCCCCAAGAGAGATAGCTTCAAGTACCTAAGGTCGATGATCCAGGGGGGCGGAGAGATCGACGAGGACGTCACTCACCGTATAGGGCCGGGATGGATGAAATGGAGGCTTGCATCTGGAGTCTTGTGTGACAAGAAAGTGCCACCGATACTCAAAGGTAAGTTTTATAGAGCTGTGGTTAGACCGGCCATGTTGCATGGGGCAGAGTGTTGGCCGGTTAAGAACTCCCAAATCCAGAGGATGAAGGTAGCAGAGATGCGAATGCTGAGGTGGATGTGCGGGCACACTAGGATAGACAAGATTAGGAATAAAGATATTCGGAAGAAGGTGAGCATGGCTCCTGTGGATGACAAAATGCGAGAAGCGAGGCTCAGATGGTTTGGGCACATGCAGAGGAGAAGCCTTGATGCCCCGGCGAGGAGGTGTGAGCGCTTGGCGGTGGTGGATACGAGAAGAGGTAGAGGGAGGCCTAAGAAGTATTGGGGGGAGGTGATCAGGCAGGACATGGTACTACTGCAGATTTCCGAGGACATGGCCCTTGATAGGAAGGTCTGGAGGTCAAGCATTAGGGTTGTAGGTTAGGGGGTAGTAGAGCTTCCCTTACTTCTTACTGGGGGTGAGGCGGGGTTGTTTAGGATTGATCTAAGATGGTTTGCAGTTTATGTTGAATCCACACTATCCTTGTTGTTTGTCTTAGCCCCGGCCCTTAGGTTCTAGTTACTGTTATTGCATGTCATTCATTTTTTGGTTGTTATGCTTCTGTTACTATTACGATTTCTACTGGAGTTACTAATGAATTGTCTTTTCTTGTTTCTTATTTCCGTCTTTCTGAGCCGAGGGTCTATCGGAAACAGCCTCTCTGCCCTATCGGGGTAGGGGTAAGGTCTGCGTACACATTACCCTCCCCAGACCCCACTCTGTGGGATTTTACTGGGTAGTTGCTGTTGTTGTTGTTGTTGGAGTTGATTTGATATGGTTCAAACGCTTGGTTGCGATTCTAGAAGTTCTTGAACTTCATGGTGATTTCCATGCGTTTTTGCGCCCGATTCGTGATTCTAGAGGTTATTTTGGTGTTTTGACCGCACGAGCGAGTATGTATTATATTTTTTTGACTTGTGTGGATGTTTGGTTTGGAGCTCCGAGGGCTCGAATGGGTTCCGGAGTGTTTTGTTGAGAATTGTGTGTGCTGGTGCTGGTGTCATCGGTGCGATGAAAAGGTCGCAAATGCGACCATCGCATTTGCGGACACCTAGTCGCTTTTGCAATCCTGTGTTGCTGGGGAACAGTTTGGATTTGCGAAGAATTCCCTCGCATTTGCGAAGTGTTGTTGTTCGCTTTGGTGATGGCAGTTGTCTTTGCATTTGCGATGAATTGGGCCGCAAATACGACTTTAGCATGTTTTGCTTTTGCGATGAAATGCTCGCTTTTGCAGGGTTCGAATTTGCGAATCCCAGGTCGCAAATGCGACATCTGTAGGTGGTTTATAGCTGAGCACTTCGGGACTTAGCTTCATTTTAACATATTTTGAACCCTAGACTAGGTAGGAGGCCATTTTGTGGAGAGATTTTCATACCAAGCTATTGGGTAAGTGATTCTAATCTATTTCCAACTATATTTCATGATTATATATTAGATTTAAACATCAAATTCATGAAAATTTAAGAGAAAATTTGGAGATTTT